ACACCACAGCTAGCTGGGGCAGAGTGAGACTCTTGTCTCAAAAAAAAAAAAAAAAAAAAAGGAAAAGTAAAGTATGACAATGAATCCTCTGGAAAAGAGATCCTAGAAGCTGTGGGACAGAGAAAAAAGACAAATATACTCTCTTCTTCATATTTTTATGTAAATTTTGAGTTTTCTACAATGTATTCACCTATTCAAATAAACAAATACAATTAATTTTAAATAAAAAATTAGTAATAAGCACTTATAAAATCAGGAAAATGTGAATTTCAAACACAAGTGTCATGCTAAGTAAAAAAGTAGCAAACCAATTCAATTTTTAAATAAACTGTTTCTTCCCAGAATTACTAGAGTGATCAATCTCTTGGATCTTGAAGCTTCCTCTGGTCTTTGTTATTTATGACCTACTTTTGTAACTCTTACTTTTTGCCTTTCCTCCTTTTATCTTTTCATGACTTCACGGATATCTTCTATAATAAACTATTCTGATAGAACATCTTTTGTGCTTTTTTTCTCTAAAGCTCTTATGTTTACCTAATTCTTGATTCTACTGGGTGACAAATCAGCATTTGAGTTCAGTCAACATCTTAATATATGTCTAAAACGCAAATATTGTGAATATTGCATATGTAGTGTGTATATACACACACACCACATATATAATTATAAATATGCATAATATGCTATCTTCTTAAGGCATATAAAAGCTGATTTTGTATTTTAAGAACACAATCATATCTCATTCAAAAATGGTATTTATTATTTCAAACATACTTTAAAAACCACACAAAGTGTGATTTGAAATGAGTTTTCTAGGCCGGGCGCAGTGGCTCACGCCTGTAATCCTAGCTCTCTGGGAGGCTGAGGCGGGCGGATTGCTCGAGGTCAGGAGTTCGAAACCAGCCTGAGCAAGAGCGAGACCCCGTCTCTACTATAAATAGAAAGAAATTAATTGGCCAACTAAAAATATATAGAAAAAATTAGCTGGGCATGGTGGTGCATGCCTGTAGTCCCAGCTACTTGGGAGGCTGAGGCAGGAGGATTGCTTGAGCCAGGAGTTTGAGGTTGCTGTGAGCTAGGCTGATGCCACGGCACTCACTCTAGCCTGGGCAACAAAGCGAGACTCTGTCTCAAAAAAAAAAAGAAATGAGTCAGTCTATCTGCATTTAAATCTAGCCTCTGCCACTTACTGCCTGTGTTACTTTGCATAAATTACATAACCTCTCTGTACTTCAATTTCCTCATCTGTAAATTGTAGTTATAACAGGATCAAACATTGGGATGTTATAATAGTAAACTACATGAGGTATTAGACATTTCAAACAATCTCTGACGTGCAGTATGTGCTTAGTAAATGCTAATATTATGAAACTATTATTATTATAAAAAGTAGTGAAAGCATATGTAATAAAAGATTAGTTGGTAATAAGTGTGTCTATAAAGTATAAGACTAAATTTTTAAAAATGAAATTCATGTAAAATCTTACAATTATTAAATCAAGTGTATACTTAGAACTGATTATAAGTCATATTATTTAAAAATCAAAAATTTTTATTTCTGAAAAGAACATGCAAACATACTTGCAAAAGGAATGCTATACTTATTTTAGAGTTTTCTTCAAAGGATTATGTTTTTATTTTTTATTTATTTATTTATTTTTGAGACAGAGTCTCACTTTGTTGCCCGGGCTAGAGTGCAAGGGCGTCAGCCTAGCTTGCAGCAACCTCAAACTCCTGGGCTCAGCCTCCCAAATTGCTGGGACTACAGGCATGTGCCACCATGCCCGGCTAATTTTTTCTATATATATTTTTAGTTGGCCAATTAATTTCTATTTATAGTAGAGACGGGGGTCTCACTCTTGCTGAGGCTGGTTTTGATCTCCTGACCTTGAGCGATCTGCCCGCCTTGGCCTCCCAGAGTGCTAGGAGATTATAGGCGTGAGCCACCGCACCTGGCCAGGACTATGTTTTTAATATCTGATGCTCCTTATTTCCTAATTTTTTCCCACTTCAGGCTACAAAAAGTTCCAATGAATAATATGAGAGCAGTAATCATTATCTGGCCAATGGATCTCAAGTCATTTACTCCCTGGAGGAATATAATATTTTCTATCTTACATCACCATAAAATATATATTTAAAAACTCTTCAAATAACTGCTTGGAGTTATATTATTCCAATATCCTCTTTGTATTATAACATACCTTAAAAAAATTCAAAGAATGGAATCACAAAAACAGCTGAGACAACAATTTTGGAGAAACATAAAATATATTTTAAGGATCAAAAGTTAATCTTTGGTGGACAGAAAATTTAAATACACAAAAAGAGTTAATTTTCAGGGAACTTTCTCCAGTAAAATGCAATGCCCTTCACTTATCTAATGGATCATCATCTCTGGAAGTAAGCTGCAGAAATCTGCATATCAACACTTCCCCCACCCCTGTAATTTTCATATACTGTCATTTTAAAAATAAGTGAGGAATAATGAAACAGAAAGGGTTAATTTAAAAGGCTCCATGTAGGTGGTAAATGTTGAGCAAATTTCAAGGAGGGTAGGAACATTAAGTGCTAGGGAGGAATGAAGCAAGGATTCCAAGCCAAAGGGATGGTATGTGAGATAACTCAGTTTCGAGAGATGTTTGAGCAACACAGACATATACAAGTGACCATTCCTGTCTGGAGTAAGCAGCTGAGGCACAGCAGATGGACAGACAGGACTGTCAATCAAAACACCAGGCTGTGACTGCTTAATTCTTCTCCTGGTCTTTAGCATTGTTTTTCATTACCTACTCTGGAAATATAAGCCTCCAAAGTAGTGCAATACTAACTGGCAGAGAGGAGGACCGACACAACTTAAGCAAAGGAAGGTACTTTTGTTTTTAACATATAAGTATCTTTTAAAAAAAGTAAAAAGGTGAAAAAGTCATTTTGGTTATTGCACTGGATTATTACAGTCAAACATTTATAAAGATATAACTTTCATAGACTGGGAGTCTTTCTTTCAAAACAGATAACTAAAAAATAATTATGCAAATTAAGAAGTCTGTTCAATTTTAGAGTGAAAAATGTAAAATAAGAAATTTAAACCATTACAAGATTAATTCTAATGTAACTGGTCAATTTGAACATCTGTATAATGAGTCTGAAACTAGGCGATTTCTAACATCCTGTCTAGTTCAAAGTCTAAAACTGTATGATACTAGTTCCTCAAACTTTGAAATAAATATACTAAATTGTTTAAAAACTATAATGTAAGCTTATTTTGATAATTCAAATAATCCTGAAATGTTAAAATATTAATAGCTGCATCCCATTAACAAATTCAGCTACACTGTTTTCAAACTTCCTGTTAGCATGTGTCCTGAATAAATGAAGAGCAAAAATAACTATTTCTCTTAGACTGCTAATATTAATAGCATACAATATAGCTATTTACTGAGGTATTATAAAAGGCCCTATATTGTTATAGAATCCTATGTCTTGTGAAAATAAGAGAAACATCATCAGCTAACCAGTAAATATTTTGCCAAACACAGTTCACTGACAATCTTAAAAACAGGCAGCATTGCTTCACAGTCTGAGTATCACTGTATATCTCCTTTGGTTAAATAGAAAGAAACTTCCGTGATACCCTTCCCTCCTAATCCTGCCATTCTTCCTATGCACATTACATATTTTCCATGTTATTATAAGAGAGATGCACTGCACAGAAGTATCCATGGGGATAAGATTTTATCTATACTGCAATCAAATGTGGGTAAGTAAGGTTATCGTGATGAAGTTTTATATGGAATGTGTATTTCTCAATGTAAGATGATTTTGTGCAATAAAGGGGAAAAAACAGAGGAAGTCTGTTTCCTTAGATTCTCCATAATTATGTACTTTATTCCTTTTTTTTCTTGCTGCCACTGAAAACAGAATATACTTTATTCTTAAATTAAGGGACTCATCTGTAGTATTAACACATCTCTTACAGTTTAAAAGACAAATAAGCAATCTCAGAGGTCTAAGAATAAATTTTGCTTCTATATGGAAAATAATTTGGTTTTATGTTTTTCTTTTCTTTTTCTCCCTTTTTTTCTTGCAAATAGGTTACACAATCAATGCAGGAAGATAATTAGTTTTTAAACCTATGTAACATTTATGGACCATGGAGAATTCAAAATTGGAGGGCCCAATGAGGTAGGCAAAATAAAAACAATTGCCATTAAAAACCCTTCCCTGATGGTCAGGCTCACCCTGCTGTCGTATTTCCCACTTTTATAAACCCACCAGTCTGATCAAGAACACTTTCTTTAAGAATAACTTTTAAACCATGAATTTTCAGAGTTAATGCAACAATAACACTGTTGTAGCTTAACTGATACTTGCAGATCAATGATCCAGAAGATAATTAAACTTTGTGTATATCAGCAAATTAGTAACCACACCTCTTAAGACTGTGCTCCATTAACTTCCATTAAAGGGTGGAGTTCGCTGAAAATTCTTTCTTTGCTTGGAACTGGCATGTTTGTTTTGGAATTACACTAAGATTTTGTAAACACTCGTACAGTAAAGCTAATGACTTTACCTAATACCAACGTCTGAAACAGAATCCGTTTTAGGGAAGGCACCATACTTTACATTGAAACTGGGTATTGGTTACCTAACGATTCATAATAAGGAAAATCAACTTCCACTGTGCATCACAAGAATTAAAAGCAATTCAAAAACTCAAAGCCCAATGACAATGTATTACTCCGTGAAAAGTGTTTCCTTTGGGTTCCTAAGAAAGGCATTGCCATTAAAATAGAACTTGATGGTTCAAGTCTCTAAGTTTCCCCCATTACTTAATTTTTTTAAACCTAGAAAGGGCCCGTTTGAGGATACTCTGAAAACCTGTGGAAAGCGGGGTTTTGGAGGGGAATGGTCAAATTAAAATAACTGTACGGGTCAAAGAGAACTCCGAGTTCTTTAACTGCACCCAGGCTAAGCAGGGCGAGCAGAGGGAATCTTACCTGCCAGCGGCCATAGGTGAGGAGGACCATAGAAATGGGGATGGCGGTGCCAGACATGGCATGGGTGGAGGGCATGCTGTACTCGGAGTTGTAGAAGACCTCCAACTTGACCACCGGCGGCGACGCGGGCCGCGGCCAGCGGATAATGTCCTTGGTGCACTGGCCCAGGTACATGACCAGCACCCAGATGACCACGAGCCTCCGGCCCACCAGGGGGTCCAGGTTCCAGATCCAGAAGGGGAAGAACGTGATGTAAAAGAGTTCGTTGCCCAGCTCCGTGCCGAAGCAGAACAGGTAGTAGAGCGGCCAGTTGTTCACGCAGGCCAGCTCGCCCTCCTCGCCCGTCAGCGAGTTGCGGCGCAGGGCGCCCGCGCGCCGCGGCGCGGCCGGGCCCAGCTCGGCGGCCAGCCCGTTCCGCACGCCGTTGGGGGCGCCGCCGCCGTCCGGCTTGGCCGCGCACTGATTGCGGTCGCTCCCGGGCGGCTGCGGGACCCCGGACGGCCCTGCCTGCCGCCCTCGCCGCCGGGGGTCTCCGGCTAAGGGCGCCTCCGCCTCCTCATCCTCCCTCGGGTCGGCAGAGCGGCTCGGCAGCGCTTCCACCCCGCACAGCCGCTGGAAACGCGCCACTTTCTGCGGCTCCTGCAGACGGCCAGCCAGCTGGGCCAGGCGCTGCCTCAGCGACATGGTAGTGGGACCCGCCAGGAGGGCAGGCCGACCCCCGGCGCAGCCTCGAACCGTCCCCGCGCGCCTGGCCAGCGGCAGCAGCAGCTGCGCCTCCCTCGAGCCGCGGGAGTCTGACGGGTGACGGCGCCACAGGCCGTAGCGGCCGCCGCGCGCCCTCGCCCCGCGCGCCCGCCCCGGCCGCGCGCCCGCCCGCCGCTGCCTCCACGCGCCCGCGCGCGCGCCGCGCCCCGCCCCGCGCCGCTCCGAGAGGGGCCGGGCCGCGCCGGGCCAACCCCGAACGCACCCGGCGGCGCCTGGGCGCTGGGGCTCCGCGGGCGGCGGCTGCGAGGTTCCCGCTAGCACCCCCGCCAGGCGGTGCGGTGCTCGGCTAGCGGGACGCGGCGCGACCCCCTTCTCCATCCTCAGCCCTCGCTCCCCGCAGACAAGCGTTGCCGGATTCGCCCTGCGGGACACTGGCTCGGAGAGGCCGCGACCTGGCGGCCGGACATCCTGCTGGCGCAGAGCCAAGTGGCGAAGGGTGGATGCCGGCGGAGTAACCACCGCGCGCCGGAATCGCCGACTCCAGTAATGGACATGTAATTACAGAGCTGTCCCGGACGATGGATGTCCGGAAGGCCACGTGCCGAGTGACCAGTGGCGGTGAGACTGGATGGGGACCCCAGCACAGGACCCGGATATGTAATCAGTAAAATTAACAACTGTGGCCTACGAAAGAAAACTCAATCACCGACAAATTCAAAGTGTGTCATTCGTCAGATACTTTGGCAAACGTTAAGAGAGCACAGGTGTTCCTGGCTTCCGTGTAAGATTTCCTTTTAGGAAATTCTGATCGCTAAGGGAGCTTGCACAGAAGAAATGTAATTAATGGCTGAATGCAGTATGTAGGTTTGTGAGTTTGATAGGGTTGACCTTTAGAGGCCAAACTTCCCTGCCTAACAAGTTACAAACTTGACTTCTTAATAGAACAGTTCATATTACAAGGTCTCTGAACTCTAATTCCAGGAAGTTGTTTCAGGTAAGGTGAATGTCTATAACTAAACGATTTGAACTACTTCTAAGAAACAGGCTGAAAAATTTCCCATGCCCTTAAGTCATTAGAAATATTTTTATAATATTTCCCAGGGAAGGTACTCTCCTTTCTCTCCACTTGCTAAACTGTGATCATAAAAAGAGGAATAAATCATTGTCCATACCCTCAGGTTGCTCACAGTATAAAGGGGAGATAGAGATAGACCTCTGGAGTATAGGGCAGATGGCAAGTGTAAAATTGATACATAAACAGCATGCCCTGGAAAGGAGAAGGAAAACGTTTGACCAGGGGCAGCAAGGAAGGTGTTAAGAGGTGATCCTGTTTAGCTGAATAATTAAAGAGCAAGATACAAATACGTGAAGAAGCCCATCTTAGGAAGAGAAAATGAACAAAGGGGATAAGAACGTACAAAGATGTTTTTGGTAAACAGCTCATAGAATAAGAAGCAAGGGTGACTGGAAAAGGGGTGCCTTTACAACCAGGTTGTAAAGCCTTGAATGCCAAGCTAGGGATTTTATTTTGTACCCAGTGGGAGCCATGGAAGTCTAGGGAGTGATGCCATCAGAACTGCTTTAGAAAGATAACAGGGAAGGAAATTAAAGATAAATTGCCAGAGGTCAGAGACCGAAGGCTAGGTAAATAATTAGAAAATTACTGCAGTAATCAGGTGAGAGAGAATGAGGGCCTGAACTAGAATCAGGTTCTGAGAGTGGGAAGGAAGGAGATATAGATTTGAATGAGATTTTGGAACTCGGAAAAAATTAAAGTGTTTCATTTGGAATTAATAGCTCTGTAAATACTAAGCCATCCCTACTTGGAACAGCTTGTGTGCCTAATATTGAGGCATTAACAATCTAGTTTTAACAAAACATGAGAAAAAGGTACACCTGTATTCAAAGAAGATGTAAAGCCAGGCATAGTAAACAGCTCTAAGAAATGAGACATAAAGTAATCACTACGTGGAGTAGACAGAGGTAGCCCTGCATTATCTATGAATGGTTCTGTGAAGTAGATGGTTAAGTTGGCATCTGAAAACAAGAAACAACTTGGTTTATAGAAAGAAAGGGGGCAATAACCTTTGGGCGAAGAGTGTACACATGCTTTCTTGTCAAAATAATTTGTTTACAAGGGAATTATTCTGGCCAGGCATGGTGGCTCACACCTGCAGTCCTAGCTCTTGGGGAGGCTAAGGCAGGAGAATACCTTGAGCCCAGGAGTTCAAAACCAGCCTGGGAAATATAGCAAGTGAGACCTTGTTGCTACAAAAAAAAAAAAAAAAAAAGATGGGGGGTTGAAATTATTCAGATTTATCCAAGAAATTTCAATTCTGGGGACTATGTAGCCCAAAGATGGCCCAGAAAGAAGAAGGTACATAAAACCAAGTAGAAGGTGATCTTTCTATTCTAAGACTAAATCATGACTTCTTTAGCATTGGTATATTTTGTCAGAATGCAATATTATTCTCTTTAACATTACTGAGAGCAAAGATGATGGTGAAATGGGAATTTGGCCTATGACTGCACTAAAGAGGGAAAATGAAGGGCTGACACTGTCCTGCTGGTATAATAAATTCTTGTTAATGATAAGGACAAGGTCTTAGCTACATACCAAAGAGTCATGGTGAAAACAAAAGTGGTTCTGGTGGTTTCTATTTACATTCACTCTGAACTTTTTATAATAGAATATCTTAAAACTTAATAGAAATTTAACTATACAAAAGATTCAAATATAAACATTCTATGGCAAGCATTTTTATCATACAGTATAAATTTAAAAAATATATATATATAGCTACCAAGTAAGGATATACTACCTGGGTGAGATTCAATGTCTTGCCTGCAAAACCAAATAAGAATACCTACAATAGATATGAGATCTGTATCTTAATCCATGCTTCATAATGTTGTTATATCTTTCTCTGTATTTCAGTTTAACTTTAGGTAGTATTAAAATCTTTATGAGATGTTCTATAAAGGTAAAATATTGCCTCATTTCTAATGGAACTTTCATAAAAGTAGTAGGGAAACAAAATATACAGTCTTAGCCTTGGACATTTTACCTTTGACAAGTTAAGTTTATAATTTATCATATTGGATTGAGGTAAATCATTGATTCAACTACTTTTACAGTAAGCTCAAAGAACTTTATCTTTAGAAATACACCTAAGTAATTTATGTTCAAAACTATTTTACTTATGAAAATTATAATAGTCATTTAAAACTGAATATTTATTATCATTTACTTTCTTTTGCCTATCTGGAACCCAACTTAATTTCTTAAGTTAATTTCTTGTTTGTTAAACTACAAAATGTATATATCGCAAACTATTACCATAAATTGTTACTATTACTAGAATATTTTTGACATGTTGATATAGCACATTATACGTGTCAATAATCATTATGAATGTTACTTTTGAAAGAGTAAATCTATGTTTAGTAAATTTTATTTATATATCTAATGATTTTATCCTTCATCTTTTATTAGTTTTATTATATTTCTCAAAAATACAATTTCCTCTGAATTCTGTCTGTCATAGCACAAATGCAAACAAAAATGTGTGATTAATATAGATAAAATTTTTATCATTAATGAGTTTTCTATCTTCTCAGTTTTTTATGCCCCAACCTTTGAATCACCTTCTTCCAAAGTAAGGTTCTAAGAGAAAAACTCTACAGCAAAATAGTCTAAGACAATGGTCCCCAACCTTTTTGTCACCACGGACCATTTTCATGGAAGACATTTTTTTCCACGGATGGGGGTGGGGTGGGGAAGGGATGGTTTGGGGATGATTCAGCATATTATATTTATTATGCACTTCATTTCTATTATTATTACATTGTAATATAACGGAATAATTATACAACTCACTATACATTGAGGACTCCTGGTCTAAGAGTATACCAGGCAACAAACAAAAGTAGACCAAAATAAATTAATGGCAATAAATGGTCTCTTACTCACTTCTAGCCCACATAGGGTGAGATAACCATGGAATTCTTTCTTTACCATATAGACTATTTGCATTCAGTTTTATTTTTCTGTAATTTTTTTTTTTTTTTTTTGTAGCAAGTAGGTCTTGCTATGTTGATCAGACTGGTATTGAACTCCTGGCCTCAAGTGATTCTCCCACCTCGGCATCCCCAAGTGCTAGGTTTACCAGATGTCAGCCAGTGTGCTTGCCCTCTAAAGTCTTGTTTTTTAAAAAATAATTAGATGAGGCATATCAAATTTGAAGACTTTAAGATCAGGATTAGGAATGGATTCATAGAATTATAGAGGTGGAGAGGGCTTAGAGGCCATCTTCTTAATTTTCTCATTTTATGAGAGTCATTCAGTTTGTTCATCTGGTAAATGAAGCACTAACTGGTTCTTGAAGATGCGATGTTAGTAAGATACCGCTCCCACTTTCAAGATGGCTGATGTCCAAATAGTCATTGAGCGTGCTGTCCTTCTTCTAGGCTCCCAGATGAGATTGGGTGCTGTCTTTTGAGTTTTCTTCCTCTGAATTCTCTCACACATTCTTCTTTGTTCTCACTATCACAGCCCTAACCCAAGTTCAGTTAAGACAAAGAAAGAGCTGGGCATTGTGGCTTGTGCCTATAATAACAGCACTTTGGGAAGCCAACTTGGGAGGATTGCTTGAGGTCAGGAGTTCGAGACCAGCCTGGGCAACACAGCAAGACCATATTTCTACAACAAATTAAAAAGATAAAAAAAATTAGCCAGGCATGGTGGTGTACACCTGTGGTCCTAGCTACTTGAGAGGCTGAGGCAAGAGGATTGAGCCAACTCCTGAACTCAAGGCTGCAGTGAGCTATAAGCATGCCACTGCACTCCAGCCTGGGTGACAGAGCAAGACCTTGTCTAAAAAAGGAGGGAACAAAGGAAAGAGTATTCTAGAAAGTGATTAAGGATTTATTTATTTGCTTATGTTATAAAGTAGGGTTTCAGAAGTCACAGTTGAGTCTACATAAGAAACGTATAATGGCTGCTTCAACTAGAACAAATTGTATGTTTAGCTTTTCAGTCCATCATAATCACTTCCTACCTAAGCATTTCAATCTTATTTCTGTGGGAACAAGGACACAGCCTTGTCCTCCAGTCAGGCTTGTTCTTCATCCATAG